ATTGCTTGTTTTAAAAGACCCTCAACATGGGACCCCATTGAGTATCTGAATATAAAGAACATTGATAGGAATTAAAATCAGTTTCTATTTAAAAGCATGCAAATTCAGAAAGTTTAGCAGTGACCTATTTCATTCTTCTATCAGAAGATCGTGATTGGGCCTTCTTTTTATCTTCACCCAGAATTGGCTACATTTGAAAAGCTATTGCAGCTGTGTTGGATACTGCTGAAAATTCCAAAGTCTGACTCACATGACAAATTATATTTGATAGAGAGTCTAGTGGGATTTGCAGAGTGGAACTTCGATCTCAATAATAATTAAGTTAACTGAAGACCCTACAGGGAACTCCTGAACTCCTACAAGATGCTGCATCCCAGCCTCACTCACTCTTGCAAAATTTATAAAGTAATCACACCATTCAAAGATGAGTCATTGTGTTAAGTGGAAAGATGCATTTTAATTTTCTATGAATTTTCAAATTAAAACAATAATGATGATGGCAAAGCTACCAATGAAACACAAGTATATGAAGACTTCATTCAGGAAAAAACATGCATGTCAGAAAGCTTCACAAATAAAATAATTCAAAATGCCTATCAGTTTTCATTTCAATGATCAAAAGTCTAAAAATTAAATAACAGTTTTCTATCCATATAAGAGGAAACTCAGACGTTTATCCACTTCTGTGAAGAAAGATTAACAAAACAAATATAATTACACTGCAAGCATTTAAGGCTATTCCTGAAAATTTTGTTTGCTCAATTTTTGTCAATCTTTAAAATATTTATATGTATATTTATTTATATTATAGCATATAAACACACACACATACACCAACACATATAAACACATATGCAAACTCTTTCAATTTCCTAAGATTGTTCTTCATCACTGAGTATAAATTCATGAGCATTTACTTAAGACTACTTAAATTTTACTTAAATATAGTATTGACAATTATTAAAGATAAACAATAAGACAGAAATCAGGAAAATAGTGATCTTTTAAAAATTGATCATTAACTCTATAGTTTCTATCCACCCCCTTTTACAATGCCCTGTTAGGAAAAAAAAATACTAAATTATGTGCCCAATTTTTAAATTGCATAAAGAATATCATTACCATGATCAGTGACTAATCCAAGTGGAAAATATTGTAAAAAAAAAAAAAAGGGTTTTGGAAAGTGTGCTATTTAATTCCAATTCCAATGAGTAATTTTGAGTGTCTCATAACCTCTTTGAACTTTCTATTCAATGTTGGGGTAATATTCAGCTGTCAACTACAAAGATAGAAACACAGAGTCTTAGGTTTAACAACCTAAAGACCAGATTGGAATAGAGATAGTAAGCATTTCCAAACAGATTGCTTTGTGGCACACAATTTTATAGAAAGTCAAGGAAATGCGTGTCTTGTACAAAAGTGAAATTTCTAGGGTAAAAAGAAGTGATTATTAATATAATTATATAAGAACAAAAATAATGGAAAAATGAACTTTATCCTGGGTACTGAGGAAAATACAGAGAAGGGTCTTGAAGATTTGGTCATAGTAATCACTCAAATACTCAATGGTCATGTCCCACAAATTCTTGTTGTCTGTCCCAAAGTCATTTTCACTTAATTAGAAATATCTATGGCTATATATGTTCAAGTCCCTCAACTACAGCATGATTTTTTTTCACTCATATATCTGGCTTCACTTTGCACATACTAGTGTATGTTTAAAATGTTTGTTTAAATTATTTTAAAATGAATACAGCTCTTCACTGGGCAAGGTGGTGCTTGCCTGAAATCCCACCCACTGGGGAGACTGAAGTAGGAAGGTCACAAGTTCCAGGCCTGCTTGGGCAACTTAGGGAGACCATGTCTCAAAATGAAAAATGAAAAGGGTTGGGGATGCAGCTCATTGTTAAAAGGCCCCTGAATTCAATCTCCAGCACAGCAAACAAAAGGAATAGAGCTCTCCAAATATGGTTCCACCCATGAAGATTCAACTCCCTAGGAATAACAAAAAAAAAAAAAAGTTTTGCACTATATCCTATGATTGTATTGGTAATTATGCTAATCTAGTCTGTAATCATACTATGAATTTATGTATTTTGAAATGAATATAATCACAGGAACATTTTAAAGGACAGTACAGTTACATGAAATATAGGAAATGTCCATAAAAATAAAGCATCTCCTTAGCTTAGGGAAAAAAAGAAAAACAGACATAAAGCAGGCCAACCAAGGAGGAAACTTCTGCTTCATGTGTTTTTCATAGTGGAGATAATTGATTTTCTTATTGCTATTGTAGAGAGCACTGCTGACATTCACTGGCCTACTGAGTTCATCACAGCTGTGCTAATGCAGCTCTCCCAAACTCCACTTTCCACTGAGCTGGAAGACTTGAATTTTTGGTTGATAATCTGCCACACCCTTACTGTGCCTCATCATTTCAGCCACTCTCTTTGTTGAAAAGAGAGCTAGATAAAGCAGTGCTTTGGTTGGTGTAGCTATTTAGATTTGTGTTAAACTTTCAGATGCAACCAAGAGATCAAAATGACATGTTTATGAATCCTGGTTAACAGTAGTAAAGTCAAGGAGGTATAGAAAAAATATCTGTCTAGATTACATCAGCTGCTGGGTTGCGAAATAGGAATCACCAATGTTCCACCCAGTTGTAACACCGATTCAGATCCACACCCATCAAACACTGTATTAAGAAACACTTTGACAGAGGAGAAGGAATAGAATCTGGGATGCAGAATACCAAGGGTCCCTATGTAGGACATTTAAATATGCTCAAAGTAGTAAAGAATGATAAATCAGAAAATCTGTAGAATGATTTCTCTAGCTCCCCACTATAAACCTTAACAATACAACAATGCTTCCATCTGCAAAATATCAGCTAACTTTCCTTAATGAGCACATCAATCAGGAATTTTACTTGTATATATAAAGCTTTTAGTTAAATGGCTAGACAAAGGAAGACATTTGGGAAAAACTAAACATGGAATAGTAAGTTTACATGACATACCTGCAATAAAGTATAAAAGGTATATTTTTTTAAAATGGCATTTATGATTTTTCACACTGGAAAATAATTCTAATGAAGAAATTCAATAAAGTTTAATTTTCATTGGCCATCTAACCAAAAAAGAAAAATATCTTTAATATAGATCTATGACTTTTTTATGCAGATAGCAGACTCCATAAGAAAAAGTAATCACATTTCTGAATTTGAACACAAGAGAAATTTATCAAAGTATCGGATGAAGATGATTGGATGATGCTTATGACAGTCTTTTCTCCCAATATCTCTACCATGATCCAGTAAAAAAGTTTTCAATAGTTACTGTATTTCCCCTCAAGCAGCAACCCTCTAATTCAAAAACAGAATATGCACAAGAGTTTGGTCTTGTTCTAGATATCTCCATGTAGATGATGTCATCTACATTGGCATATCTTGGTTTGTGCTCCCCATGACAAAAATACAAGGAAGCAAGTGTACTGTTGCCCATGCTAATAAAATTTATGGTGTCTGTATGTGTCTGTGTGTATATTAAAAATTGAGTAAATATCAAGTACCATGAATTAGGAGAAAGAGATGAAAAGAGATTTAAAAGACATGGTTTCCCTAAGGAAGAAATTTTTGAGCTGGGTCACTGTGAATTGACTTCCCTGAGTTGGTGTAAGATAGGAAGAATTTCATGTGCTCATGCATGGATGTGGGCATGGTTAAGTTAACATGAAAATTAAATGCAGATGACTTTGATGAGAGTTGAAATGCCCAGTATAGATTACAGAGATGAATTAAGGAATAATGGACTGAGTATTATGGTGTCAATAAATATCTTGATTATTTAGAAATATCTTAATACTGTAAACAAGCATATCTTTTCCTTCAGAAATTTATCAAAGATCTATAAATGGTGTTTACCCATCTTTAAAGTACGTTTCAGAAATTTCTCCTTAGGCAGATTCAGAAATATATTAAAAAATCTATGTTATTAGGACCTGGAAAGTATACATATAATAATCTAAATCTAGAAATATATATATATATATATATATATATATATATATATATATATACACTAAACTTTATACCAATGCAGGCAAAATGAGAGTTTTTTCTTGTACTCTTACTATTCCATGTGATAAACTCTTTCTTTTTTAGTTTTTTAGAAAGTCAAGACATGAAAAGTCTGAATTTTTCTCAAGAAAAATTTGTCTAGCTTTCCCCAAACAGCATATAAATTGGAAATCTCACAAAAAAGCACTCAGACTTGCTAAAGAAATTTGTGAGAACTAGAAACTGCTGTAGATTAGTATCTAACTGTTAGGATTCCCTTCAAACATAGTTCAGATACTTAGTCCTTTGACAGGGTGGGTGGATGAGTGAAAAAAGAAAACAGATGCATTTCTTCTAGCTAATCTCCTACAGTTCCCTATTTAAATTGAGTTAGGGTAGATTCTGGCAAAATCTCAATATCAAAATCTTCTAGGAAGATAAAGTTTGCAAAATTATTCATGCCTGAGAATGTTTCAGGCAATTTCTCAAAAATTTGCAGTTGTTAATGTTAAAAGGAGGAATAAACATACAGTGAGAATTCTCATACTATAAACACAAAGCAAAGCATTTCCATATATGTTCATAAGTTCACAAACGTGTATGTAAGGCTAAAGTATGTAACATACATAATCAGATGCACACAAGCTCCAGATGTGCTATTTTTCTAACTCTGTGGGTTCTGTCCTCTATAAGAGAAAAAGAAATATTAATCATTTCTTTTACTGCTAAGGGGATGGGTGCTGCTCTCAAATTTCAGAAAGGGGCTGGAAAGTGAGGGAAGCCAAACTTTTTCCTATTTAAGGCCAGAGCAAAGGAATCTCAGTGGCTGAGTTTTATGACGGGCCTGGTGCTGAAGGGCAGGGAACAACTGATGGTGCTACTTTGAACTGCTTTTCTTTTCTCCTTTTTGCACAAAGAGTCTCATGTCTGATATTTAGACATGATGAGCTTTGTGCAAAAGGGAACCTGGTTACTTCTAGCTCTGCTTCATCCCACTGTTATTTTGGCGCAACAGAGTTCGGGTGAGTAGGTATTGATTCCAAGGAACTTTCTGAGGTTTTCATCTTTATTTCTTACAAAGAAGTATAAAGGGGAAAATCAGCCTCTTGAAAGATTTCTCTATGAACTCTCAATTGTTACATGTTAATCTGAGCATAATTTTGCTTTTTACATTTGTTCAAAAGAATAACATCTTGTTTGTATTTAGAAGTTCTCTATGCATAAAATAAAGATTTTCTTGTACTAACTTGTTTTCATGTTTAAGGTACTGGAAACTTTTAAAAATGGTTTTAAAAGGCTTTCCTCCTGGACTGTTAATGGCTTGGAATGCTTCCCTCTGCAGTCTGGAAGTTATTGGTTTCTTCTAATAATTTTATGTTCTCCTTTGTATGCTGGATTCTTTGTAAGGATTGAATGTTGAGTATTGTTTCCTCAATAAGATAAGACCCTTTAAAAATAGCATGCATTAAGACTAGTCTAAAGGAAGTTATTATGAATCATTAAAATAGTTTAATATATTTCTGTAAAGTGGTAACAACAGAATATCTGTCAATGTTCCTTAAATGGGTTCAGAGAGGTAAAAAGTTTCAATGTTCCTGATTTTATTGTTTCAAGTACTTGAGTAGTTGATCAATCCATATCTTCTAATAGTTTATGGTTACAGATCTAGTATTTCCTGCATGTTCTGTATTTTGGCTGCACTTATATTAATGAAGAGAATACTTTAAAAAGTGTTTTCCACAGGAATGTTTTGACTTTTCTACAAAGTAAAGACATTAAAGTTTGCCTTCAAAAAACGGATTGACTATATTTTTCCAATATTTGCATGTAGAAAGTTTATATGTTTAAAACACTCATTATTTATGTGAAATGTTTTTTGTAAATTTGTATGTTCCTTATAGCCATGAAAATACTGAACCAATTAACTGAAATAACCACTTCAATATTAAACTTAAAGATAACTAGACAAAATCATTAGTTAACAAATTTTCTTTACATATAAACATGTTTATTTTTTAAGTTTATTTTTTAATCTATAGTTTTTGCGATTACTGTATAAGAAAAATTGTTTTTTATTTGTGATATCAAATATGTTTAGTATCTTCAAAATTATATACGCAAATGTGGGTGGAGGGAAATACCCAATGACAGTTCATTAGTTATATCATCCATGGCCACAGAAGAAGAGGAACACCCATATTCCTTGTTCCTTAGCCCCTCTCTCCCTTCCTTTTCCCTCCTCCTTGTCTCTCCACCCCTTTTGGCTCCTTAAGACATCCTCTGCCTTTTCCTTCCTCACTCATCACCCCACCCCCATCCTAGGCACAGCCCATCTCTCTTCATTGTTGCCTTCCCTTCCTCTCTCACTCCCTCCCTATCCCCATGAAAGCACCTCTTCCTCCATCTCTTCTCTCCCCTTGTCTCCTCATCCTTTCTCTCAAGCACTCCATTTTCCTTCCTTTCCTATCATTTCTCCCTTTCCCTTCCTATTCTGTCCCTCCTAGAAGATTTTACAAGTCTCAGTCCTCCCCTACGATAAGAAATAATTAATAGACCCCACCCCAATAAAGATTTTCACCTATTTTCTAAAGTTATTAATTTCTACTGATTTCTGGAGGAAACATCACAGAGATCTCGCTCACTGACAAGACTACAAACTTGGGTTTGAGTTCAAAAGATCAGTTAACTATTTGTAATTACCTAGTGATTATAAGAGCTATGAGATATAAGCACTATGATGTTTTCTTCTGAACTTTAGGAAGAAAAGGAGTGCTTGATACGTACATTGTCTTCACATCACATAATTTCTTTTTGTTCACCTCTTTACATTTGTGTGCTCTTAAAAGAAGATGGGAGGGACTTTGTTTAACTTCATTGTTTGTGTCTTGAAAAAAAGTTTAGATGCTTTAAGACACTGTGACTTATGTTTCTTATAGGCTTTATAAGAAAAACCTGCTGATGGATAAGCTTTGGGGAGGTTACAGGAGGTGGCTGAATACATAGCACACTGGGAGTACCCTGTAGCGCTGGGGTGGGGGTGTCTTGCAAATGCCCAGCTACACCAGGAACAGCACAGCGCTGAAGCGCATGAACTGTGGTCTACTCTGAGGTTTTTGGAGCATTAAAAAAAAAAAAATGTCTTCACAAAGTATTTTGGTATTTTTACAAATTTGTGAAAGATTTATTTTATTCATGTGCTTTATTCCAGCAATGGAAAAACGTGATCTGTTTTATATTTCCTGTGGTATATAAACATGCCAAGCTTTAGGTGCAAACACGCGCCATCTAGCGGCTGATGGAGACACCACTTACATAACCAAAATGAGTATATAGGGAACTCAGCATTTTATAGTGAGATTTGAAAATATCATATGTGTGAATTTTAAGTATTAAACATTCTTTCTTAAATATATGAAATGTTACCAAATATAGCCAAATACACACAAACAATGGTGACAATATTTAAAGATATTGGAAATAAAATTTGTGGACCATTTCCACATTTTTACATTTGACTTTTTAAAAATATTTTTTCATTTTCAGAGACTCTGATGTAACCCTTTCTTGACATAAGTATTTTACTCACTGCTTATTAGATATGTAGATAGATGTAGAGATAAATATTACTCATTAATACTGTTTCATTCAGGCAGGGACAGAAACAGTTGTAATCCAGTGTGTTCTTTGAATTGTTAAATTTTCTACAGTAATAATTTGACTAAAAGGAGTTGTGGACCTTTATATGTTTATATATTTCAAAAATAGAGATTCAGTTTCTCATTTCACATCATGATAATCTATTTTCCATTATGCTTAAAGAAAAAAATTGTAACTGATCAGTTACCATTCAAGTTTTCTGACTTGTGCTGTCCCTATTATTAAACATACTTAACTAATGAAAAACAGAGTAGCATTAATTTACAAGAAACAATTGTACCTTAAAAGAACCTCTTCTTTTACATAAATGTTCTCAAATCTGTGTCACTCATCTCACATGGGTCTAGTACTTTAGTTGAGTTCATGAAATTAGGTAATGACAGAGTTAAGACTAGAACCAAAATCCTGTTAAGCTTGAAGGACACAAAGCATAAATTTAAAATACCTGAACTCTCTTATTTTTGTAATTGTTTTCACTGAAGAGAGATACCAAAAAATAGTACATGGTCCTAAAAAATAGTTGAGCTAGTATATTTATAAAGGTGAAAAGGGATAGGTACTTCTATGTTTAGTATTTAACTTTGAACTGGTAAAACTGCTTTTGTTTTTTAAAGAAGAGACTCAGAGTTTATGCTTTAACCAGAAAATATCATGGTCCTGTGAAAAATGTACATTAGTAGTAAATAAAGAATTATTGAAAGAAAATTTTTGTGGGTTTTGCTCATGATACCTTGCATTTCTTTACTCCTTCCAGAATACTCAACATCAGATAATCTGAAGGCCTGTATGTAAATAGGTATCTTTGCTTCAATTCGAAACATAAAAGATCAAAGCCTCTGCAGAGAAAGAAGGAAAAACTGAGAGAATAAAATGCCTTTTAACTTATTCAGATTCCTGGGTTGATGTCTTATTCATAGATTTATTTTTAAAATTTTCAACTATTCTCTGTGATTTTACCAGAATTATAGTTGAGACTAAAAGATAGTTCCTCATGAAAGCCACTATTCCACACCTACAGAGTCTTATGCCAAGTCTTGAGCTGTCACTCAGAAGAGAGTACCATCTATCAAAACTCCATGATTTCTATTGTGGATGTTGTTGCTTTTGTGCAGAGTTCCAAAGATTATGTAGCCAGTTCTTTCATTTTGTAACATCAAGTGATATCACCATCTTGAAGTGATTAAAGTGGATTGCTTATGAGCTAAAGCTTTAAAGATGAAAGATGTTATTACTTTTGCTAGACAAGGGGAACATTTGTAAAGTTTCCAGGTCTACAATAAGTTTCTGGAAACATCTCAGTGAATTGTTTTCTATAAAACAGTTTCCCTAGCGACTTTTCTTTTTAGCTCAGTCCCATCATTTGCCACACTCAGAAAACTAAGTTGCATGGTATTTTTAAAAGTCCAGAATTTTCAACAGGGAAACTTTGCCTGTTTCATGTCAAGATGACAATGGAAAAAGTGAGTTCACTTTTCTTACACAAATCATTTGTGAACAGCAATTCAGAGAGTTATATTAACCACTAGAATTTCTGTCTGTGCCTAATGAAAACATAGCAGAAGTGGATTCCTTTCAGATTAGCTAATAAAAAAAAGCCTTGTTTTTTTTTCCATGACTGAGGTCAAACACTGCCATTTACATGCAACCTTAATGAACAAAAAAGAAAAGTTCAAAGAGGACAAAAAGCTACCAAAAATAAAGGATCCAGAAATCCCTAAAAGTTAAATTTTCCTTGAAAACTAACATTGAGAAATTACTGCTTTGGAAAATGGTATGTGTTTTTCTGAAACTCTTTCCATCCCCCTAATGGTATTTGGTTGTGGAGGATTACAAACAGATACTACAGTTCTTAAATAAATTAAAATCATAGAAACATTCTTTGGAGTTGTATGGTATGTTTTTAATGTCAGAGTATCATTCAGAGGAGAATTGTGATGAAGGTATATGTTCATTAACATGAACCACTTAGTAACTATATTTTCTGAAAATCAGCATCTTAGTAAGACATCCTGAATGTTTTTTCACTGGATGCAGAAACTTTGTCTATTTGTTATAGTTGTAATTGGAATCCTCCTTCTCTGTATGTAGTAAAATGGATGCTGTGCTTCTAAATCACATGTTGATCCTGTTGGTGGTCTGGATGCCATCAGGGTGGCCTTGGAGATATAACTTTTTTTCATAAAGTCAAGAGAAATAAACAATAGAATTTAACTCCAGATGCTTGTTTTGAGACCAGAGAGAAAAGACATTATTCAGAGAAATATTACCTCTCAAAAAATCTGCTTTTTAGACTCTTATTTTAACCTTGCAGGATTTATAAACCACATGGGACAGAGTTTTGAAGCTTTCCTATGTAATCCTACCC